TCTGAAAACAATGTTATGGCCACATTGTAGCATTACAAATTTTTTTTCATACATTTTATGTTGCATCAAAATATTTATTTCTAAAGATACTTTTTTAAATTGTTTTTGGTAATGTCTATTCAATGCTTTCTCATTCAACAATAGTGATTTTACTTTATCTTTTGGGGGTAATTTCACAGCCCACATTGATGTGTGATTAATTTGAACCTTATTATAAATATAAGCCTTTCAATTCTTATTTCAATCTAATTATTATTATTAATAATAATGATAATAATTGTGTGTGCTATGCATTTTTAAAGCTTATTAGTGTATTACACTTTTAGATTAGCAACATGCTAACAACAAACTCAATTGAAATCACCTATAAGTCGAGTGTCTTTACACGAGGATCACTATTTAATGACACACACAGATGCTGCCTACGTAGATAATTCCAAAACAAAGGTTATGTTTAAGACAGCTCAAAAATAAAGCAGAAACGTATGGTGCATCCATTAATTAAAATTATAAAAATAAAAAAATATTTCACACTTGCTAACATAATACTTGTTCATTTTGATTTTTAGTATAATAATTTACTTGTTCATTTTTAATAATATTACATCTGATAGTTCTGTCTCACACAGAATAACTAGAACTTTGAATACAACTTTGTACTCATAAAACATTTTTTACATGAAAATGAAGCAGCACAATGTTTAGGTTTGTACTGTAATATATCACTGATTGAGAACAGGAATTAATTGCTTGGGGAGTTATTTTGGCCAAAGTCACTTATATTCTGATATACAGTGGTATTGCTATACATTTACATTCACAATGGAATCTAAGAAACCACCTGCTTATTATTCATGAATTATATTCATTTCGTGTGACACAGGCAATCAACTCCAATACAAAATGTCTAACCATATACTGAAACACTGCTCCCTATAGGTTCAACTTTAAATCTGAGGCCAAAATGGCAACATTGAAGCATATGCAATACGTCTTTACTATGTTGTGTGTGTGTGTATGTGTGTGTGTGTGTGAGTGTGTGCAATGATTTAATAATTAAAAAAAAAACTATTTACAGAACTGGCCTATCTACAGCACATTAATGAATCACTGTTTGAATTCATAACACCCTCTTTCTGAAATTAATATCAGACTGTGTCCAGTGAAGTCCAGTCTTCACTATTATATTTACAGTATAAGGATATGAAATGAAACACACTTGCTGTATATACAAAAAAAATTAAATTTGAGACCTACTGAGAATATTGTACAGTTCACTGTTTTTTTTTCAATCCCTGGGAGATGAGACACCTTAAACATGTTTGGGGAGAAAAAATAAATAAATGAATGTTAACTAAATAATGGCTGTGTTAACATTGTTAAAATGTTATAAATTAATTTTAAATTGTAAATGGCCAGCTATTACGATGAATACACATTATTCAAAAGGCATTCTTATTTGTAAGGCATTCACTTATGAAGCAAAATGATTCTGTAAGTCATTTATCTACAAACAAATTCAAAAGAACAAGCTAAATGTTAAATAACCTCATGGAATGCACATGGACGGTATATATACAGTATATATATATATATATATATATATATATATATATATATATATATATATATATATGGGGCACACAAAAAAATATATAGTTAACTAAATAATGGCTGTGTTAACATTGTTAAAATGTTATAAATTAATTTTAAATTGTAAATGGCCAGCTATTACGATGAATACACATTATTCAAAAGGCATTCTTATTTGTAAGGCATTCACTTATGAAGCAAAATGATTCTGTAAGTCATTTATCTACAAACAAATTCAAAAGAACAAGCTAAAAACCTCATAACCTCATGGAATGCACATGGACGGTATATATACAGTATATATATATATATATATATATATATATATATATATATATATATTTATGAGGAGCTTACAAGAAATTACATTTAGCTGAAGGTATGTTAGATTAAAGTTGAGTTTTGTAACATTTTCCATTGTTACATTGTGTCTATGGTTGTATATCAAGAGATTTATTCCACAAAACATTCTCGACATTTGATATTTCATGGACTTTTAACTAAGTTTGAGCTCCAAAAAAAGCTTTGCTATAGAGACATGATACTTAATAGTTATATTCCTGCTTTATAGAGGTACAAAAAGCTTGCCTTCAAATTGACGTTTTATCACAGTGCTTTTGGAAAGGTATCTCACTTCTGAAAAATTCACATTTTATTCCACATCTCTTCGCCTTTAGACGAAGGCTAGATAAGCAAGAGAAATGTGTAATTAAAAGTTTAAATGTTTTTAACAACCACCAATTTAGAAGATTGCATATTTCATGGACTTTTAACTAAGTTTGAGCTCCAAAAAAAGCTTTGTTATAGAGACATGATTCTTAATAGTTATATTCCTGCTTTATAGAGGTACAAAAAGCTTGCCTTCAAATTGACGTTTTATCACAGTGCTTTTGGAAAGGTATTTCACTTCTGAAAAATTCACATTTTATTCCACATCTCTTCGCCTTTAGACAAAGGCTAGATAAGCAAGAGAAATGTGTAATTAAAAGTTTAAATGTTTTTAACAACCACCAATTTAGAAGATTGCCGAGTAGAATTGCTCACATGAAGGCAAAGCTGTAATATAGAGAGGGATATAAACACTGTTGGCTTGTTTGCATGCTTCAGCTGCAATTTTGTTCCCGCAGTTCAAGTTATAACGAATATAAAAATGTTAATGACCTACTGAAGAGATTAAAAACCTAAAAATTAAGTTAATATAGACACTAAATGCACTCTTCACAATGTGTGAAAAATCAGTTTGAACAGTTAAACGAACTTGGCATAAATAAGTTCTGAGCCAGCAAAAATCACAATTGTTTGATACGAAAAGCCACTTTTTTCCAATCTGAAAAAGCCATCTGACTCAGGCTAACAAATTCAACAATGTTCAAAGGAAATGCACTGGGGAAAACCCGAGAGAGGTGTAGTGGCTTTCCTCCCAATTTTCCATTATGCTCATTGCTCTGTAATATTCACAACAAAACTTTTGGAATTTCAAATGCTGGCAAATTTCTCAACCAAACATGTTTTCAGCAACTTGTAGAGTAGTTAAGTCTATTCTTATATTCCACACAGATCAGAACAAGACACCCATGCAAATCTGAGCTCCTTAGAAAACTATTAACAATGTCAGTGTTTTGAAATTACAAAAAAAGCAAAAAGGAAAACTGTCAACCTTTAAAACTGTGATACCTCTGTACACATTATTACAATATGCCTCCAGCTTCTTTCCTGAAGTTTTCAGACACTCGTGCAGTTCGGGATCTCCCTTGTGCTTTCACAGTTGTTGATCACACCGCCTACTTGCCGAAAACACAGAAATGACACATTAGCCTTCAAAATTTAACGTCAACAAACAAAATTGACTATGTATTTTCCTAACACATGTCCCTGGATGATTATTCAGAAGAAACATTATTTAATAACCTTGCATTTAATTTAAATAACTTTAGTTATTTAAATAACTAACTGAAACAACTTATCTTCAAGCCAGACCTACTTTCACGATTCAATAAAATCTCAATGGATAAAATCAAGTCTTAACATGACTTCAAGTTGAATATATGGTTGAATATAATGTTTTGCTAAATGCCAAACATTATAGAAATTAAATGCATAGTGAATGCCATTTTATGTTATCTTTAAATGCTTGATTATACGTCCAACTATATATTACTCAACTATAAATGAACAAAATAGATGTTTTCTGGATTAGAGTCATTAAACATTTATCCTAGTGAAGGCAAGCAAAATGAATGGAAAGTAGGCTAGATACTGAACTGTCACCGATACTGTCACTGAACTGAAGTAAGAAATAAAGCAAAAAATAAAAATAAAAAATGTTTCATCCTCCTATTAAACACCCACAGAAATAGTGGTGGGATTTATTTTCTGCGTGGCACCGAATGTTGCATGTTTATTCATCACAGTTGTTGTTATCACACTAACCCCAATTTGACCCCTTTTATAGTTTAATCAGTGCTCTTTTATAATCACTGCTTAACAGCACCAATTAAATATTAATTTGCAGTTATTAAGCAATTACATGATCACAGATGCATCCACTTGGGAAATAAGGACACTTGGGCCCACTGTAGATATTTCTCATTATTATGCATTATGTGTCAGATTATAAATGCTCCTGATTCCAAAGGGTGTTTTTTTTGGTCTGATAGTGTTCACTGTGTAATTCTGAAAGCTGAATGATTCATATTTTTAGTGTAAAACACAGAGATTGCCATCACAACAGCACACTCTAAAAAATGCTGGGTTAAATATAACCCAGCGCTGGGTTAAAAAGGAACAAACCCAGCTATTGGGTTATTTTGACCCAGCGGTTGGGATGTTTTGAACCCAACCGCTGGGTCAAAACAACCCAATAGCTGGGTTAAATTTAACCCAGCATTTTTTAGAGAGTAGTTTTATGATAGCACGCTGGTCTGTGACTCAAATATTTTTGAGGCTGAAAAAGACTAAAGCTGGAAAAAAATTACATTTCCTTTCATTTGATTTTCTTCTTGAGAAATACTAAAAAAAGACAAGTATGAAAAAGTTGGAATTATGTTCACTAAATTCCGCCGTTACTGAGCAATACAACCTTTGCAACTGTTGCCATTTGCCATATCAGACAAGTTTTTGTACTTTTCTAATGTACTGTACATCGAAGCAACTGTGTGTTTAGATGGAATTTTACAGAAATTATGGCAAATTACAATAAATTGCATTCTGTGGATTACATATGTATTTCATTATTTTTTATACTCATAGGCAAATCATTTTCTCTTACTTTATGTATACATTTTATTTTAAAAAATTGTGAATTTTAAACTTAAAACAAGAAAGAAAAAAATATATATAAAAACATTTTCTCTGAAGTTTTATCTTACACAAATCCTTTTTTTATTATTATTAATTTTCTAAACATCTCACTCACATTTGGCACGGGCCTCCAGCTCTTTCTCCATCAGTTCTTTCTGGGTGGAGAACTCACTCAGGGTGATTTTTGGTGTGGTGTCATTCTGGCCCACCGTACTGATCATCTCCTGCTCTTTCTCATGGTTCACCTCCGCATAGATGTTAATCCAGGGGATTTTTCTGTAGAGCAAGATTTTGTTGGGAAAAACCATCAGCGTTAATGATATATATTTTTTAAAGGTGTAGTGTAATTTCTGTGCCACTAGTGGCACCAAACTACACATTTGTAATCATTTTGTGTGAGCAGAAATGTAGAAATCTCAAATCCAATTATCAAAAAAGACAAATGTGAAGAAGAAAAAAAAGATTGATTTTGTGCCTATTTCAGTGGCAAATTGGGGTAACATGCATGACAAAACAAGGAGAGGGCTGTGCGCATGAAAACTGATTAAACTGCAAAACAACAAGTTGCTAAATACGGTGTGACTGCAATCACAATCCTTATTGTATTCCTGAAATAATGACAGTGATAATTGCATGTTGTTGAAAGACAGCCCCATGAATCCTCTGACCTTTCCGAAAGAATCTTGAACGCTTTCCAGCACTTTGGCCATGAAAACGAAGAAATGGGCCAAGGAGGCGGACAATGTTTCTCTGTAAAAGTGCATGGGTACTAGCACGACCAAGAGTCATATATCAGTAATTGCTCACTAGTAGTAGATGCTATTATCACTGCAAGGAATTAGTAACTATTACCAAGTTATGGCAGACCATGTTAGAGGAGCCACATTATATAAATGTGGCAAATGGTGCTAAAAACAAAATGGATAGTACTGAATATAGGGTAAATTAGAGTGAATTCAGTAAAAGCATACAGGAAATCTTTTTATGATATTCTGGTTCCAATTCAAATTATTTATTCATTTGGCCAATGTGTTTATCCCAAAAAACAGTGTTCCCGGCCAAGAAATTATTAGACACAAGCGTGTGAGTGCAAGTGGCTATACACACATTGAATCCCTAAAAACCTCAATCAATATCTTAGTCAGAGAGCCACTACAAAGCCCAAAGGTCTAGACATTACGGCTGCCGCAAAGCCAATAAAGGTAAGCCCACCATGTACTCTCCTAGAGATACTCACCAAAGGCCATTTCGATCATAAAGAGGAAATTATCCGACCTTAGGTAAATAATCTTTGTTTTATTTGGTACTACCACGCAGGGCTCGACTGGTAATAAGACAATAGCTCAGGAATAGACAGCCTAAGCATAATTTACAATGAGCAATGCGGCCAGAGCTGAAGCAGTCTTATGAATCAATACTCTGAGTCTAAGTTTGTACTCACCACTGCAATATTGGAGAAAGAAAAGCCCTGGGGCTCATTGAAGGATTCAGCCTATGTGCAACTGCTACTGATATTCCTAATGATTAATGCACATCTCCGAACTCCAGCCTTTATTTCTTTCTCAACACTCCAGATTCAACGCACACTCCGTCTGCTAGCGAATAAGGTCCAAAAAAGACAATTAGACAGCAAAAGAGAGACCTAATGTTGCAATGCTCTTAATTACACCCTGCTAATAGCTTAAGAGTCATTGTTGTAATTAAATCGCTTTATGTCAAAACATTCCCTTCCCAGACCGAAGAACTGCAGAATAACATTAAAAGGCACAGATGCAATAATCCATTATAGCAGAGGACAAAGTTGTTATTAAAGAGGTTGTTTAGACATCTGTTGGGTTTTCTGTCATTGTAGTTCATCTTTCCCTATTTAAGTGCTTGGCTGTGTATATTATTGACGCTCTGCTAGAATGCAAATAAAGCCTTACAGGCAAATTTAAACAATTCAACACTTTTTTTATGACATGTTCCAGTATTTTTCATTCAGATGTATATTGCTATAAAAAAATCCATTATTGTCATCTTTACAGCGACCATCCATTGTGTAAATGCTTCCTTGGAAGCAAAGTCTTCAATGTGAAAGTCCTTGGGCAGGGCAGGGCTGTGAGTGTTTTTAAAGCACAACACTCACAGATGAACAATTTGCTGAGAATTATTACAAAGCGAGACATTTTCACAGCATGGGCTGGGTTTTTGCTGAAGAATGTGCCGAAGTGCACTCTGGTCAGGCTGAGCATCCATATTAGGTAAATATGTCTGGATTTGGTGCATATGGAAATGCAGTTGATCCAGTAACAGGAAGACACACTCACCTCTATATATAGACTGGAGATTGACGATGAAAGTGTCTTCCTGTTACTGGAGGAACTGAATTTACATTCGCACCACATCCAGACATAATTTATTTAATATGATATACATATATATACACTACTGTTCAAAAGTTTGGGGTCGGTAAGATTTTTAAAATGCTTTCTCTTATGCTAAGCGAGGATGAAATTATTTTGTTCAGAAATACAGTTAAAATGACCCTTTGTAAAGACCCGACCCCCTTAGTTACTGTTGCTATGGCCAACAAGCCATGCTTTCACGCCACACATCATGTTCTCACACAGTGAAAAATATATCACGGAGCAAAGTGGACACTGACAATGTGCTGACAGACAAGACAGAGCAGGTTACTTTTGGTATGAAATAAAGTCTCAGCTTTCAAATTTTGTAATTTTTTTAAGAAATTCAAATAATAAATAACATTTTGTTGAGACCGATCACCGTAGCACCTCAGTGATGCAATAATCCATTATAGCAGAGGACAAAGTTGTTATTAAAGAGGTTGTTTAGACATCTGTTGGGTTTTCTGTCATTGTAGTTCATCTTTCCCTATTTAAGTGCTTGGCTGTGTATATTATTGACGCTCTGCTAGAATGCAAATAAAGCCTTACAGGCAAATTTAAACAATTCAACACTTTTTTTATGACATGTTCCAGTATTTTTCATTCAGATGTATATTGCTATAAAAAAATCCATTATTGTCATCTTTACAGCGACCATCCATTGTGTAAATGCTTCCTTGGAAGCAAAGTCTTCAATGTGAAAGTCCTTGGGCAGGGCAGGGCTGTGAGTGTTTTTAAAGCACAACACTCACAGATGAACAATTTGCTGAGAATTATTACAAAGCGAGACATTTTCACAGCATGGGCTGGGTTTTTGCTGAAGAATGTGCCGAAGTGCACTCTGGTCAGGCTGAGCATCCATATTAGGTAAATATGTCTGGATTTGGTGCATATGGAAATGCAGTTGATCCAGTAACAGGAAGACACACTCACCTCTATATATAGACTGGAGATTGACGATGAAAGTGTCTTCCTGTTACTGGAGGAACTGAATTTACATTCGCACCACATCCAGACATAATTTATTTAATATGATATACATATATATACACTACTGTTCAAAAGTTTGGGGTCGGTAAGATTTTTAAAATGCTTTCTCTTATGCTAAGCGAGGATGAAATTATTTTGTTCAGAAATACAGTTAAAATGACCCTTTGTAAAGACCCGACCCCCTTAGTTACTGTTGCTATGGCCAACAAGCCATGCTTTCACGCCACACATCATGTTCTCACACAGTGAAAAATATATCACGGAGCAAAGTGGACACTGACAATGTGCTGACAGACAAGACAGAGCAGGTTACTTTTGGTATGAAATAAAGTCTCAGCTTTCAAATTTTGTAATTTTTTTAAGAAATTCAAATAATAAATAACATTTTGTTGAGACCGATCACCGTAGCACCTCAGTTCAAGCGGCACGTGAACCAATCATCTCTTCCTCTTTACTAGTTATAGCACAGAATAAACATGAATGAACATAAAAAAGTATCTTGTTTCAATCACTGAAAGATGTCAATAAACACCATTTTTCAAGTTCAAGTCCACCGACTTTAATCTCCTGTCTGGTTTGTTTGTTGGACAAAATGGCAGATTTGGCATTATGATTGGTTAGATCACCCGTCAATCAAACTTGCGGAGAAGGGTGAATTACAGTTATTACAAAGAATTAAAATATAATTTATTTCTATAATGGCAAAGCAGAATTTTCAGCAACATTAATCCTTTATCATAAAGTCTTCAGTGTCACATGATCCTTTAAAATCAGACTAATATGCTGATTTGCTGCTCAAGAAACATTTCTTATTATTATCAATGTTGAAAACTGTTGTGCTGCTTAATATTGTTTATGGAAGGATTCTTTGATGAATAGAAATTTAATTAATTATACTTTTTTTAATGAACAGAACAATATTTATTTAAAATACAAACATTCTGTAACAAAGTCACTTTATCAATTTAAGTCAAGTCAATTTAACGGATCCTTGCAGAATAAAGTATTAATTTCTTTTAAAACAATCTAACTGACCCCAAACTATACATACATTCATATACAGACATCGGATCCCTTTTGTGTGCTTTAAAATAAATTATTTTACATACAATATATTACAACAAATTAAGTTTTGAAGCTATTAAGCTCCAAAAACAGTGCAAAAGTAATGCAATGCAAAATCATAAAAGTGGCCAATACAACAAATAAGCTATATTCGAAGTCTTCTGAAGTCAAACAATAGCTTCATATAGGAATTGGGTTGGTATCCCTCTCCAACCAATCAAACCGTAAAAAAATGCCACCTTAAAATGCCTCCTGAACTATTTCAAATGAAAAGTATTTACCAAATATTGGACACGTTCACACAGCAGCAGAATATGGTTGTCAGTCCTGTATTTGAGTCCTTAATACGGTTACGTTCACACACAGTTTGGTTATTTATGGGTGTGACAACAATATTCTGTAACCGAACTCACACCTGTACATTTTCAGGATTCACAACCGCATTCTCGATACACACGCGCTGTGTGAACGGAACAGGACTGGACAACTAGTTGTCTGTCACGTCATACAGTGTGAGAGAGAGCCGCTCTGCCGCACAAACACACGTCTACCGTGTTTTCGGTAACTTCGCTACTTCGGTCTGTCGCTTGAAATTTTTAGATCCCGTCAATTTTCCACCGGAGTCGCCCCCGTCAGTTTTGTGTTCTGTGCGCAACTCAAATACTCCGCTCTCCACCCAAATATAAAGGCTGCCGTCGGTTAATGAAGATTTGACGGATGAACTCGCAGCTCGATTGAACTCTTGTCGTGTCAGAAAGTGATAAGACTTTCCGTTTTATGGACGTCGCCATCTTTGATTTTACTTTGGTCACTGTCGCTATGGTTACTGGTAAGGAATAAGGGCTTGACTCCAGTTGCACGTTCATACAAACAGTATTCTAAACACAACTGTAAGTTGCTGTGTGAACGGGACATTTCGAGACTCACACCTGTAAAGAAAATGCGGTTGTCAATCCCAAAAATTGACAGTGTGAACATATCCATTAATCAAAATATAAAATTAGGCTACATTTTGGCACCTTCACATATCATTGCTGGATGTAAAATATTGTGAAGTTTGATTGATAGTTACTGATCACTAATGACACAAGTACTCATGACGATCCCTAGTGCAATGTGAGTCATACAGTACTTGCATCATTTCCTGATCCCATTCCCTTCTCTATTTCCTATTCTTTCTCTTTAAACCCATCAATAAAAGTGTCAAAAAAAGCCTAAAATAATAAACAAAACTTATCATTGGTTCTCCTTTCAGTATCAGAGTGTTTGTGATTCAAGTCCTGTGCTGACTCGGAGGCACTGGCTCTGTCTTTAACCCCTGCTACTGAAACCTTCTATTCTCATCTCCTCAGGCTGCTATACTGCTATCGCTTCGGTGCACCAGAACAGACAGCCGCCTCCACTCACCTCTCCTGCCCATTGCTTCAAACAGCCGTCTTAAATGGACCTTGACTTTGATTATGTCTGAGCCTCGCTCTCCCTCTCTTTTTAATACACTGAGCTATTTATCAGCGGCAGTATGGATAAAGTGTATCAGCTTCCTCTAGGGCACTACGGGATGTGGTTTAAATGTGAGAGGATAAATGAAGGGAACAGGAAAAAGTGAGTCTCTTTACCGCAAGAGCTCAATATTAAGTTATAAGGCTTTGAACTTGATGTTGAAACAAAGAGGGGAAAAAGTTGGAAGAGGGCAGTTTTACATCTGGTGAATTCTGGGCGAATTCTGGGTAAAGCCAGGGAATCTTAGGCCAGGAAGCAAAGACTGCAGATAATGAGAGAGAAAGAGCACATGCAGAGGACGGAGGTGTGTGTGCACTTTACGAGCAGATGTGAGATCAGTAGCCTCTTTGTGCTCAGCTGGTCTGACTTTGTTCTCAGGCAGATTCTAACGCTCTGTTCTGGATGAGGGAGTTTAGATTGAATTGTGATATTTAGGGATTACTGTATTTTTGTGTTTTATGTCTGAAATAGAGAGAGAATGTGGCTGGCTTGATGAGCACAGCTTTCCTAATAAAACAGGAAGCTGAACAATTACTTTAAATCAGACTAAGCTGGTCTTAGCTGGGCTCTTCTATTGGTCTACCATATGTGGGGGTGTGTTAGAACGAGCCGTTTTAGGTAGGCGTGGCTGACTCTTAACTTTTATAAAGAATATCTCTTTGGATTTGAGACTTTAGTCTTTGCAACTTTACAGATCTTCTTTATGCACCAAGAGCTTGTAACACTCCAAAGAGAAAGGAAAAATTGAAATCGCATCATATGACATTAGAAATTTGTCTTTTTTTCATTGAAAATATCTAAACATGTGCCACCAATATTTTTTATACTTGTTAACCATTCATCAAAGAAAATTTGGTCAAAATCAATTTGCAAATTAAGTAAAAAAAAGAAAAATCTAAATAAAATAATACATTTAATATATAATTATTTAAAATGTAAGCAAAGAGACATTATTATTTCTTGTCTTGTTTTCCAGTGAAAATATCTAAATATGGGCCACCAATATATAATTTATTCCATGTTTTAAGCATATATCAAATAAAATATGCTCAAAAAACAATTTGCAAATGAAGAAGAATAAATGTAATTTAATTTGTCTTCTTGTTAGACAGATTGCTTTCTCTGATATAATGGAAGCTTTAATCTAAATAAAATAATACATTTAATAAATAATTATTTAAAATTTAAGCAAAGAGACATTATTATCTCTTGTCTTGTTGTCTTGTGAAAATATTAAAATATACAAAACCAAATGTTTTTTTTTTGTTTTGTTATAAGAAAATATGGAAAATCAATTTGCCAGTGGGTAAGAAAATAAAATGACTTTAAAAATTGTGTTGTTACTAGACAGACTCCTTTCTTTGATGTAAAGGAGGCTTTAATCTAAATAGTTTATAAATATAATAAAATATTTGATTTAAGTAATTAGTTCAAATGTATACAATAAGAAAATCCGTGTTGCCCAGCGACAGCCCCAAAACATTACTGCTCTTGAGGAATGGGCCAAAATACCAGCAACAGTGTGTGACAACCTTGTGAAGACTTACAGAAAACTTTTGACCTCTGTCATTGCCAACAAAGTGTATATAACAAAGTATTGAGATGAAATTTTGTTATTGACCAAATACTTATTTTCCACCATAATTTGCAAATAAATTCTTTAAAAATCCTACAATGTGATTTTCTGGATTTTTTTTCTCATTTTGTCTCTCATAGTTGAGGTATACCTATGATGAAAATTACAGGCCTCTCTCATCTTTTTAAGTGGGATAACTTGCACAATTGGTGGCTGACTAAATACTTTTTTCCCCCACTGTATATCACTTAAAAAGAAAAGAGCACAAAAAAACTATATTTAATGTCTCACTAAAGCATTGATAAAGAGCATAATATACAGTCGGATTGTGACCTATGGACTTCAAATAATTAAAAATAATTTCTTAACACACATTTCACACACTTATTCGGTAGTTAATCAATGTCCTCTGTGATAACAATGTTAAAAATGGTCATACATGCATCACAGGAGAATTTTGTCTTTTTTTTTTTTCTTGTCATCCATATTTCTGCCACATCACAAATCAAGTATTGTGTGAAATTCTGAATTCTGTTGTCAAAATGATGGTAATGAAAGTGACATTTTAAAATTGTTTCTAATAAAATGGCTTATGCTAATTTCAGAGATACACAAAATTATCACAGATACACAAGATTAAATGCTATTTCCATCATTTTTCACAAAATAAAAACTGGATTAGAAATAACCCATTTGAAAAAGAAATACACACACACATCTATCTATTTATCTGGCTACACAGACACACATCTATCTATCTATCTATCTATCTATCTATCTATCTAT